TTTTGTCAGCTCATGAAGCATTCGCTTTTTTTTGTGTGGGAAGCCCTGACCTAATAACACATTACATACTTTACAATGTAACATTCAGTTAGTGAATAAATAATATTTATTTGTCCTCTTCCCCCCCCCCTCTTCTCTATCATAATAGTCTTATAGACACAATCAACAGCATCAGCACGGGATAGAATGGAGAACCACTAATCCATTAGGCAGACAAGAGTCGAATCCTGCTGTTGTCACGGTAGTATAATGTAACGTAACCCACCATCCATTCAGCCTCCACGCCCATTAGTGTATAATCACTTCAATTGTTTAAGTGTCGGGTACATTTTTTACATTTGTTCTAACAGCAACTAACTATATATTATTATTATTATTATTATATAAATTATGTATTAGTTTCTCAATACTTCTTCCTTGTTTATTATCCTCACCCCCCCCCCTCTCTCTCTCTCTTCTTTTCACTCTATTTTTCTGTGTATTAAATGTATTTTTGTGTTTTATTTTTGTCTGTGTATTGTTCAAGTCATATGAGTTGCTTGTGTGTCATCAGCACTTGCTTCTTCTCATCTTTCTAAAATCTATTTTTTTAAAAAGAGAAAATTAAACTAATTAATGTTGTTGTAGAAGCATAGTAAAAATGTTGATATCAATTCATCAATTTACAAGTTAAGGTGTGGATCAAGTGTGAAGCAAAATTTTTAATTTATTAATGTAAAGCTTTTAAGGAATTAAAAATCATTTTCACAGATTTTAATTTCAAAAGTCTCAACAAAATTGCAAAATCAGTGAAAGTTAATTAAGTCTCTCAAAGTTTTCAGGTCTGGCATGCATAAGGACTACAACAATTTTCGTGGCTCAAAATTTCACATTTTTTTCAAAAAAATAATAAAATCCTCGAAAATCAATTTAATACAGTTCAAAATGGCCAAAAAGTAAAAAATTAATTATAAAAGTTAAAGCCACAAAATCGATTTTTGGACAGATCCGCAAAATTTTTGGGCCACGAACATTTTCCACTATACAGTATTAAAGGATTGATACATGAAGTTCTATTTTAATACATGTAGTAGCCTACTAGGTTAGTATGCTTACCTGTTGGTCGCTTATATTGCTCATCTTTGAACATGATTTGCAGACTCTGTGTGATGTGGTTGATGTTGCCAGATAGCGCAACGGAGCATGATAGCTACCACAAGTACTACAGACCACAGTACCACAATAACTGCAATGATACTAAGGGGGGAAAGGAGAAAAGAAAATGAGCTAAGGTAAAAATAGCAAAAAAATTAAGCAACAGAATTTCAGTGCCCAAATTTTCTATTTTAAAGCTAATTGTTCCAGTCAAAAGTTAAGAAATAAATTTAGCACTACCAAATAATAATGACTAACAAAACTAAATGCATTCATAGGAACTAATTATTATATTGAATTTAACATTACAATTATTGGCAGTTTTTCAGTCACGTATATTGTACATTGGTGGTTTTCACAGACAAATATTTCATGCTATACACTATACACATGTACATGCATAACATACATCAAGACATATATGTTACCTTTCTCTTTGAGAAGGTAAAAGCAGAGCCACACCCACACTGTGACGCCACTCTCAACGGAGTCCAGGGTAGATTTATTTCGGGTACATGTAGCAATAACGAGCGAAGATTAAGAGACTCAAGTCGTAATTTCTCATTGCAGCCCTTTAAAGGAGCCCTTCCATCAGGCTCACTGGATGAAGGATCTTTTGATTCGTCAGTAAAGACATCCTCTGAAGTGGAAGTTGTGCTTGAACACAAAGAGAGACACTCTTGATACTCTTTGATCTGCTTTTCTAAAGAATCTCTGTGCTACAAAATTGATGTAAAAAATTGTTCATTATTAAGTCAAACTACATGTAGCCATTTTTGCAAAAAAAACCATGGGATATAGCCTTTAGATATTTTTGAAAAATTGGCCTGCATGCTTTTAAAAATGGCCATAACTCGAAAATTTTTATCAGAATCAGCTCAAATTTTCTATATAGCATAAGTACATCAATATGTATCAGAAATTGTAATAAAAATGTGGGGTGATTTCGGAGCCATTTTTGCAAAAAAAACCATGGGCTATAGCCTTGGGTATTTTTCAAAAATTGGCTTGATTTTAAAAATGGCCATAACTCAACAAATATTTATTGGAATCGGCTCAAACTTTCTATATAGCATAAGTACATCAATATGTGTCAGAAATTGTAATAAAAATTTGGGGTGATTTCGGAGCCATTTTTTTGAAAAAACCATGGGCTAATAGCCTTGGGTATTTTTCAAAAATTGGCTTGATTTTTAAAAATGGCCATAACTCGAAAATTTTTCTATCGGAATCGGCTCAAACTTTCTATATAGCATAAGTACATCAATATGTATCAGAAATTGTAATAAAAATTTGGGGTGATTTCAGAGCCATTTTTTGGAAAAAACCATGGGCTATAGCCTTGGGTATTTTTCAAAAATTGGCTTGATTTTAAAAATGGCCATAACTCAAAAATTTTTCATCTGAATCGGCTCAAACTTTTTATATAGCATAAATACATCAATATGTATCAAAAAATGAAATTAAAAATTGGGGTGATTTCAGAGCCATTTTTCAGAAAAAACCATGGGCTATATAGCCTTGGGTATTTTTCAAAAATTGGCTTGATTTTAAAAATCGCCATAACTCGAAATTTTTTTATCGGAATCGGCTCAAACTTTCTATATAGCATAAGTACATCAATATGTATCAAAAAATGAAATAAAAAATTGGGATGATTTTGAAACCATTTTTCAGAAAAAACCATGGGCAATTATTATAGCCTTTCTTATAGTACAATTTTATTTTTACAAGTGGCAAGCAAAAATTAGATTATTTTAGAGAATTAAGGAAGAATTAAGGGCTATAGCCTTTGTCTTTTTATACGCTTGTTTTTAAAAAAATACTCATAACTAAAAAATTATTTGTTGAAAACAGCTCAAATTTTCTACACAGCATGATCCTTGTGCCAAGACTGTAGATGCTAACTTGCTGAAAACCTAAAGCAACTTCTAAAAATTCTTTACAAATCTGATTTTGATCAAACAACAATAATAATAGATACCATGCACTATAGTCAAAATTCTTTGGCTTACTTGTTCCAAGTATTTAATGTGGTCCTGAATGCAGACATTTTGCTGCCTGAGGCTGCCAGCCACTTCCTCCATTAGTTCCTGTGGGTGTGGTCCCGTCTCATAGCAACAATAGAGACCTCTCCACAAACTAAGTGAATTACAAGTCACAAACATAAAACATTCACCCACAAGTGTTAGCAATAAATACTGTTTAGTATAATGCCTTAAGGCCAGTTATTTTTAAGTACCTTAAGGATACAATTGTTTGCGGGTATTTAATTTAGCGAATTTTAGCGATTAAAAAAAATCGCTAACTTAAGTCCGCACTAATTTTAATTTCCTCATTGAAAGTGGGTGTGGTCACAATAATAAAATGACGGCCATCAGCAAGTCTGAGCTTACTTGCAGCAAACGGTCAGCAAGATAATACTAAACTGCTGTCCAAAGACTTCTCTAGCAGTTAGCCTAGGTTAACAAAGCAGATGACAATCTTCTTCGTTCAGTGACTGCTTCTAACTGTAAGCAAGATAACTTTACATGTTAATGGCTGCAGAGTCAGTGATAAAGCAATTTAAGCAAGATTAATGCAACAAGATCTACTGTATTAGTGTATTTAGACTTGTGCAATTGCTTTGCTTGCTCATACATGTAAATCACAGCACATAATCTATAGCTTGCTTAGGCTCGCCCCTTTAATTCTTCTAGAAGTTATTAATATCAAATGATCAAAAACGCTAAATTAAGTACCAGCCAAATGTCAGTTTCATGAAAATCGCTAAAATAAGTACACGCTAATAATTGTCTCCTTAAGGTAGATAAATACTTGCAATTTGCTAATAGTACTGATTTTATCGTAGGGCTTCTTTTCTTCGAGGGCTGTAAATTCCGTGAATTTGTCTAGAAATCTATTTTTCAGATTTAATTTTTGCAAATTTATGCCATCTGCCATATTTTACCATAATAATTTGACTTTTGTGGAAGTAATTTTTGCAAATCTTTAAAAAAATGGCGAAATCCACAATATTTACAGCCCTAAAAAAAGGCACTTATGGTCATTTTTGGCAATTTTGCTCTTTTATCAATTAATAACTATTAATAAATCTAGATTTTTAATAAATGCAGGTATTAGTTTTTGCGATATTAAAGCCGTTTGCAAAAAAACGTAAAAATCAGTACTCACAAAATAATAGTGGCTTTAAGGCAATTACAAATCTCTAACAATTATTTCTTTCTCTGAAGTACATTATACATAATTATAGACATACCTCAATATTGATACTTCAGTTTTGGGCATTATGTAATTCTCTGTGTCGTTATCAAAAAGAGGATTAGTAAAATCATCCAACCGTGACCATATGTACCCCCACAGGGAATAAGTCTTCTCACTAAACCTAAAAAAGAAAAATAAATAAAACTTGAAAAAAAATAAATATTAACATACTGTATAGGGGTTATATTTCACTGGTAATAAATTTCGTGAATTTTGCCTTTTCATTAAATTTGCGAAATTAAATTCCACAAAAGAGGTGTGGCACACTAGTAAAAATGGCTGCAGAAGGTAAGATTCACGAAAATTTATACCAACAAATGGCAAATCTGAAAAAATTCATGAAATTTTATACCAACAAAATAAAACCCCTATACGGTATAAGATAACTAAGTCTATAATTTATAATACATGTAAAGTAATGTGTACGTTAATTATAATTTTATTTTGTTTATTTACTTGTTTATTTTCCTGTCTCTTTCGTTGTTTCCAAGGAAAGTCCCAAACTGGCAGGAGAAGAGATGATCGTGAATTGTTAATAAAAATAATTCATTAAACTCAAAACTTTTGGGAAACTGAACCATAATCTGTAAGAGAACGAGAGAGAGAGAGAGAGAGGGGGGAGGGAGGAAGGGAGAGAGGGAGGGAGGGAGGGAGGGAGAGAGAGAGAGAGAGAGGGAGAGAGGGAGGAAGAGAGAGAGAGAGAGAGAGGGAGAGAATGATAAGATACAGAGAGTCAAATCATAGGCCTTGATGATAAAATCTCTACCTGCCAGACAGCATCTAAGAATTGCGTAAAAATTGGTGAGACTTCTTTACTATCACTGTTAATGTGGCCACTCCTTATAGTGAACTTGTGTCCGAATGAAAGCCACTCCTTCTCGATAAGAATCTTTTGAAAAAGTAACTAAAATATTTTGTTAGCTAATCCTTTTCTCTTACCATAAAGCCATGAATAGTCCTGTAGTATTTATCGATCATTAGTGAGGCCAGAGAGCAGGTTTGGGCTGTCCTATCCCAGCCATCAGAGCAATGAACTAATACATTAATCCCTTCAGTGTATAGAGCCTAGCAATATCAATAATAATGAATTAGTCTTCTACTAATACCATAATTTACTGATACTTTCGGTACCAGTATTACACTTAATGTATACACAAATAGCCACTTTGATACCAATACATGTACATAAGATGTAAATTGATTTTACGTAACATGAGTAAATATTCAAAGTTAACAAGAAGCAAGTTTCTATTTCAAAATACAAAGAAGCTTAACCATGTGATAATAATTTCATTTATGACTAATGATTACTTTAATTATAATCAATTTACTCATACTTGCTTTTACAATTAATTTAATAGCGATTCAATACCAAAACCTCAGTATCTGTGCCTAAATACCAGTAGCAGTGGAACACTATAATAAATACGACACTACCAATTGTTTCATGTAGTACTATATATCAATCATGTCATCATAATATTCAGTTCAAAATATACAAATAATTCCATGCATGGTTTGTTATTGGTTACATAAGCTATACCTTATATTGCATGTACATGTAATCCTACAATGATAGAAATGCCATTCAACTCTACCTTCCCTAAGTACCTTTGCAATAAATGCCCCAGCCTCCAATACTAAGTGTATGTGTCTCAGCCACGAAGAAGCATCCAGTCCTTGCAGTACACTACTCACACCAGCAGGTGAGTGTAAAGCTAGCAGAGAGAGAGAGGGAGAGGGAGAGGGAGGGTGGGAAAAAAGAGAGTACTTATAAAATTCTATAGAGGATGTGTCTTACTGACCTTCCAGTAGCTTTTGTAGGCTCTCTCTCATCACATGGATGTTCTGTATGTTATTAAACTGATAAACAATATTTGGATAGTTATCAGTGGTCTCATAGCCACCTTTATGTGCTGCCTTATTGGCAACTGCATTAATCTATACACACAAAGGAATAACACATACATACTTATATGTACATGCACTTAAGTATACTTTGGGTCTTGAGTCTAGTAAGTGAAGGGATGATGAGTTTGGATTGGCATCAATGATTGCTTGGATCATTGCCTCATCTTCCTGTGACCTTCGAGTGATGTACGTCAGAGGCTGACTAGACCTACAGAGAGCACTCTAGGAATGAGAGAGGAAGGAGAGAACATATACAAAAATAAATTCAATTAGTTAGAAAAATTTAATAATTAGTTCCAGTGCATTTTAATGGCTTACATTCTTTGCTTGACAGTAATAGGATAAAACTGGTAGTCGTCCTTTACTCCTGAACTTGGCACTTCCCAGCACGACTGATTTCTCTGCTTTAGCAGGCACAAACAAGGTATTACTGTACGTCTCACACAACTATACATAAATAAGATCAAGTTGATGACATAATAAAGTGTTGGTTTAGTCAAATATAACTGTGACAACTATACTACTGCTTTCATTTGGGACTGGTAATAATAAACTAAAGGCACTAATATAAGCTGCTTACAAATTAAAAGGATCAATTGGGGAAAAGCATGGACAATAATAGCCTATTAAAATTTGATTATTAAATCTAAAAATTGCAGTTCAAACTTTTTTGTATAGCATAAGAGCATCAATAAGTGATTCAAGATACATTAGTATTCATTATTTACTTCATAGTCTTTATTAAGCTCAGTGCAGACCCAGTGCTCATTGGGCACACCCATCCTACCATACTCCACTACTGAATCATAAAGATTCCAACCAGAGCTCTTCACAAAGCCATCACTACTAGGAGTGAACTGAAACGCATATAATTCTCTGTATGTATCTGGAGAAGGAAGGAGAGAGGGGAAAGAGAGAGAGAGAGAGACAGAGACAGAGACAGAGAGAGAGACAGAGACTGAATAATTAAGATGTTTCATGTACATATGAAAATGAAAGGCAACTAAATACACATTATACTTGTACAGCACACAAGTACACAATAGAAGATAAATTCACTAATGACAAACAAAATTCAAACAATCTCAACTACTATGCTTGCCATGCATCATTACCAGGGCGAGAGAAAGAGGCTATGGTGTCCATGATATCGTGACAGTCAGACTCTCGTGGTATTATCATGAATAACTGACGGAATGTCTTTGTCTCGATAACAAGAGGATAGCCTTTGGTAGTGAGGGACTGCCTCTCTACTGAGTGTATGTGATGATATAATACCTGAGAGGGAAAGAAACCAGAGGATAAAAGAGAAAGAGGAGGAGGAGAAAGAAAAAGATAGGAAGAGAGCAAAAATATTACACATTTCAATATTTTGTAACAATAAACTATTCATTTTGATTTTTAAAATCAAGAACACTCATTAAAATTGATGCCCACATTTTCAATGAAGGTCACAATTAATGCACAAGCAAATTTTGGTTAATGAATATCGTTAGCAAATTAGAGCAACCCACAATTGCCTCGTTAGGTTGCATGCTTTATAAATGGATCCAAAAATTGATAAGTTGTGCGTAACTTCCTTCTAAAAGCCCGAGAGCTCTGCTAAGCTCCAATTTTTGCAAAAATCTAATGCATAATTATTATAATCATTCTATAACCGGACTAACCCATGTCTCCATTAGACCAGTTGGTTCAATAAAAATGAGGTGACGGTCAGTGAGACACAGCGTCCCAGTCACATACTCTCTTCTCCTGTGGCGCTGGTAGAGCAATACACGCTCGACCTAAGATCAATACATATCTCAAATGAACAATACTGATTGTATTTTGCATTGAAACTCGTATAATACTGTAAGCAGGTTAATAAAGACTAGTCCCTACATGTGGCATTCTCCATGCTCCTCTCTATCTCTCCTTTCCCTTACTTTTGGTGTCTTTATACGACTATCCATCTTGATCTTTTACTTTAGCAACCTTAACTCAAGAATGGGTGTGGCACAATGTAAGGGCGTGGCTGATGCTAACCACGCCTTCTTGGTCCTGCTATTTCACCACCCACCATTTTTGCTGTACATACAGCAAAACAAGCAAAAGGGAGAGAAAGGATCAGCGCAGAATGGGGAAGACCGTGCTGGAAGCTAAAGTGGTCGATATTCAAAAGAGAAGATATCCCTCGAAGCATTATGTAAGCTGTCCACTGTGGAAATATGGCTCTACTACCCACCTATCCCTTTCCTTCTCTAGGTGTATGTCATTGAAGTTGTTTGGTCAGAAGGAACCCAGACACTCATATACAGACGATACAGCAGCTTCTTTGAATTTCAGGTACAATGTGATTTGTGTATGTGCATAAATGAGAGCCTCTTGGGTCATAGCAATGTCATAGTATGATAGCCTTGCGTAGCCAGAGTCTGGCTACACAAGACTAATGGTACGAGTCATTGCAGGAAGTTTTGAACTTGTTTATTATTGTTGTAGTGTGGCTTACTTGCTAAGTTTCCAATTGAAGCTGGAGAGAAGAATCCTGCTGACAGATGTATACCATTCCTACCAGGTACAGCATTCCAGTATAATAACTAAATGATCATGTTGACTGAGCACTATTCGTAATCATAATTCATAATATTGAGTCTGATTAAACTGGTACTATGCTATGCTTATATTTTTATGGCTGCTTCTTATTTTTAAAGGAAATTTTGATATGCTGCCAGAACTGCTTTAGGCTATGTTTACACAGCAATGCAAAACGAATCGTTTTAAAAGTATCCACTTTGAACACAGTTTTTGTTTTCATAGAGTTCTATCAAGATTCTATCATGTTTTCATTCGTTTTTGTGTAAACAGAAGCATAAAACAGGCACAAAACTTTTCCGATTGCATAGTTTTCCTTGCTGTGTAAACGTGGCCTTTAAACTGCTTGATAAGAAGTAAAAGTAGCTTTTGTAGTTTTATGGACAAGCCACTTCACATGTACATCTACTCTATATGCATTCCAGTGCTGGCTTGATGCCTAATGATGACAAAGGAATGCATTGACTCCCTCATTTGTGAGGGAGTCGTGTAAATCAAGATCATATGTACATGTACATATTTCTATGTGTATCATATGTTATGAATAAACTACAGATGTTGAGGGTTACTGGATATTATACAGGAAGATGTTAGTTGATTAGAACCTGGGGCTTCTAATCAGCTAATGTCTGCTGTATATAGTAGATGTACATGTATAGTGTACATGCATGTATGAGTAATGACGTTTACTATTAGATTGATTGTATGTGTTATTGGTAGGTAAGATAATATGGGGCAGGAGTCATGTTAGAAGTGTTGCTGAGAAGAGGATGGGCCCTATCAGTGACTACTGTCAGGTAATGAGAATAGGGAGAGGGAGAGAGAGAGGGGGGGAGGGAGAGAGAGAGAGAGGGAGGGAGAGAGAGAGAGAGGGAGGGAGGGAGAGAGGGAGAGAGAGACAGAGACAGAGAGTCGGACAATATACAATGCACAAAAGCATTAAATGGATGATCACATCATGTTATAAAACTCATACTGAAGAATATTTTGACTTCCATTATAAATAACATCCCATTCTTTACAGGCTGTGATACGATTACCATCACATCTATCCCAAGACTCTTATATTCTTAATTTCTTTGAAGTGAAACCTGATGACATCAACCCACAAGTGTAAGTACATGTACACACATTATGTCTTTGCTCTATTGTTTTGTTCTAGCTTTTGTACTAATGTAGCTTTTAATTTTACAGATCAATGATGCATGTTAAAACAATTAGAGCTATACTATTGAAGTTATTCAGCAAAAGAATTCATCCTTTTAAAATTAAAAAATACCAGATTTGACTGTCATTTTTGTTTACTCTAGGGCCAAGGAGGAGAAATCCAAAAAGAAGGAGAGTGCCAATGACATCAGTGACCCAATCCTATTAGAGCAATACACTGCCATTGCTGACTATAAGAAACAAAAGAACACTGAGTGCAGCCTTGCTGCTGGACAAGTTGTTGAAGTCATTGACAAGAATGAAAATGGTACTTCTTCATTCTCTCCTTTACCCTTATTTGTTTTTCATCACCTTTTCGCTTTCTTTTTGTTTATTTTCATTCTTCCTTTACAGGCTGGTGGTTTGTTCATATGGATGATCTTAATGAAGGATGGGTACCAGCCACTTACCTTGAACCAATTTATGGCCAGACTGAAGCCAACAAGGTAGAATGAGAAAAGAGAGAGAGAGAAAGCAGGAGAGGCTTAGTGAGAAAAGAACTTTATTCACATTCCTTTTTTATTGTGATATACCAATAGCTTAACTGAGCTTGGTTTTTTACATGTGCTGCTCTAAATGAGGGATTTAATATACTAATGAATATATACTATGATAATAATATTAATCATAAATCCCTGCCTTAAAACAAATAAGGCAAAATTCAAACTATAGAAGCAAAGATGTTTGTCTATCCTTTATTTTTTGTGTTGCATAACATTATATAGTCATTCATGTTGGATACACCAGAGACACACATTACCACTAGCAATTACAAAGCTAAGAATCCTGATGAGTTGTCCTTTGAGAGAGGAGTCATTGTTGAAGTCTTTGAAAAAGGAATGGATGGATGGTGGAAAGCTAAGTGAGTCACTTCATAATAGCAATTACACATGTACCATGAATCCACAATCTGCCCTCTCTCTCTCTCTCTCTTGTTCTGCTTTCTTCTCTCTTCTTTTTCTAGGTACTTGGATAAAGATGGGTTTGTACCAGCATGTTACTTAACTAGGTACTATGGGACAGTGAATGATATCTCAGCTGGTGGACCAATACAAGTCAGTAAATTACTACTAGCTTCTGAAGCACTTTTTTAAAGACCGTTTGAAGTGTACATGTAGTTTGGGCTAATCCTGGTCAAGTTTAGATTTTTTACGAATTTTAAAGTTACTCAAAATTTGGTCATGGACTATAATAGACTATTTAGTACAGGAAATTTTTTCAAAAATGGCTATGAAAGAAATCTTCGTTTTTGTTACACTTCCTGATACATATACATGTTTTTATGATGTGTAAAAAGTTTGAGCTGATTCAGATCAAAATTGGATTTTTTTACCAATTTTTAAAGTTCTAAAAAATCGGGCTAAATTTCCTGTACTATAGTACAGTGTAGGAGGGAGCTGAGCCCTTAAATAAACATTTTTAAAAATAAATACAAGACAAGGATAAATAGTAGGTTAAGAAATGAGAAAATAAAGAGAGTAATAATGAAAATTAAAAAAAAAATAAGTAAGATAGATTGAATAAGTTAGGTTAGGGTGAGGTGAAGACAGGGTCTTTGGCCAACTTTTGTCAAAAATAAAGAGGGCAGAATTCTTTATTTTTATTACATTTTCTGATACATACATGTATGCATGTTTTTATAATGTGTAAAAAGTTAGAGCTTATTCTGAGTAAAATTGGATCTTTTACGAATTTTTGAAGTTACTCTCAAAAATTTTCCAATGTACTCTGGCCTGGACTGTAATGCATAGTATGGCAATTGCATAAGAGAGAACTATCCATTTATGTCATTTTGCACGTGCACAGTTTTATCATTAATTAATTCTACCCTACAAATTATACATGTACATGTATTATTACATGTATTCACATTACAGGTGGTATCCACAGCACAAGAGGCTGTGACTTCGACTCTAAAACCAGCAAACTCTTCAGCTCCTAAGCCTCAACGCTCACCCTCTCCCATCAAATCCAACAAACACTTTCCTTTTCCTCTCAAACCTGGCGTGGATCCTTATGCAGAAGAGCGTAAGCTAACAAATAAATAATGATAATAATTAATTAGAGTCTTTATTTATAGCAATTTATGCACCTACTCCAAGAAAAGAAATGATCAAGGTAGGTCTGAAAAATTTATATTCAGCCACACTCTTTATTACATGCATTACTTGTATAGAGAGCTGATATTCGTAAAGTACCTCCTCCAGTCATTCAGAAGCCAATGCTAAAGAAAGGATCTAAGCAGCAGCTAGGAAAGTCCTCTTCTTTTTCTGACCCTGATGACGATGCTTATACTGAAATAGACGATTTTGTGAAGCCCACAGCAACCAAAAACGGAAGTCAAGAGGATGAGGATGACGAGGATCCTCATGATTATGAAATGATGAGTGAGCACTATATGACGATTGGTGACTTCACTGCAGGCATTGGAGATGGACTCAGTTTCAAGTCTGGCAAGGAGGTCTCTGTCATAACCAAGAACCCTTCGGGCTGGTGGTACGTTGAAATGGACTCACAGGAAGGCTGGGTCCCCTCTTCTTATCTCGAGAAGGTTTATAGTCCTTCGAGTATCGGACAAAAAGCAAACGAGAAAGCTAAAGAGACACCAGCAGTAGCAAAACCTCCTGAAGTAAAGAAGGTATTAAAAAGCCCGCCAGTCAAGCAAAGAGGAGGAGGAGTTAATGATAGCAAACCTGCTCCCTCTGGTATCAAGGCGAAATTAAAAGAGACTTCTTCAGTACCACTAGAGTCTCATAAGCCATCAGTGGCTGCTAGACCAGTCAAGTCACCTGTTAAACCGTCAGTGAGTGCCAAGCCTAAGCCAGCCATACCTCGTGTTGTGACTAATGATGCTACTGATGGAGGGGACACTGGGCAGTCATCAGTGGCTGCAATGGCTGCTGCACTCTCCAAGGGAATGGGAAAAAAGAGCACGTCACAGGGTGAAGTGAAAAGTACTCCGCCCAGACCAACAGTCCCAAAGAGGACAGTTCCTGTAGGAGCAGGTGGGGATGCTTTGAGTATAAAACGAGATTCACTTAAGAGATCATCAAGTACTGATGACATTGAGAGCAAGAAGACTAAATCCCCGCCTCCTTTGAAGCCACGCCCAAATGAGCTCATTCCGCCACCTCAGAGAGGGTATAAGTCAACGTCAAGCAGTCCTCAGCCAATGGGGAGGAAGTTCCTTAGGAAATCGACAGAGAACCTTACCGAGATTGATAATGACACACCCACTACTTCTCGGACTAGCTCTAGTAAGCCTGATAAACCACAGCCACCTCCAGCTCGTAAACTCACACAATCCGACACACAGACACGCCCTACACTGGGCGGAGCACGCTCGAATCAGACTATTAAACTTGGAGAGTTGGAGAAATCTCTATCAAAGAAGCCATTGCCTGGTAAAAGAGGTGGGCCGAGTCCTCCATTGAGAAAGAATACATCAACAGCATCCAGTAATGGGCCCCCCAAACGGCCTCAGACCGGACCTAATAAATCAGCACAGGCTAAAAAAGCCCCACCCCCAAGACCAGGCAATAGTCCCGCCCAGTCTCGTAGGCCCTCACTACCTGGTAGCAGCTCTACTCAGTCTCGTAAAGCTTCCTATGTAACGATTGCAGACTATTCCGGGGATGAGGGCTCGCTTAGTTTCAGAGAGGGAGAGAATGTTGAGGTTATTGAGAAGAATGATGAGGGATGGTGGTACGTGTCCATTAAAGGTAACGAAGGATGGATACCCTCGACTTTCATTGAGAAAACGACTAACGCACCAGAGAGACCATTCAAACCTCCACAGCCTAAGCTTGCTGCAAGGAAGTCAAAATCCATCCCTAAACTAACAGAGAATAGCTGTCGTGCCATTAGTGATTATAACCCACCAGTGTATGAGGATTCTGGTATCAGCCTCAAGGAGGGGGAAATATATGAAGTAATTGAGAGAGCTGATGGTGGTTGGTGGTATGTACAATATGGAGATAAAGAGGGCTGGGCACCTTCTTCATTCTTAGAGCCAGCTAACTAAAGGAGCTATAACCGACCCTTTATTGCTTACTGTTGTTTTTATTTTATTTTATTTGCTCATTCTTTTTAATATAAATTGATGTACAAGTGCAAGTATGGAGCTGTAATGTGCATGGATTGACTCTGATCATGCTACACTAACGAGCGTAAAGGCGTGTATGAAGTAAAAGTTTTATGGGTGCACGTGTTCAGTATTATCAATGTTTGCTATTCTTGCAACTATTTTTGATAATAAAAATAGATTTAGTGATGATCATTGCTGCATACCTTGTCAAATTTTCATAGCATAACAGTAGAGGAAATTGTAAATTTATAATCTATCTAATTTAATAATGATATTTTAATCTAATTGGATTGATGTCTTTTCAGACACTCCTCTGTCTATTATTTAAAGCTAGTGTGCTGATATTATAAGACATTGATCTAGTTGACACTGATGGCTGCAATGTTTATGCTGCTACTACTAGTTTTTCTTCCATTAGTCCATGGTAAAATAATATTGATTTAGGCCTTGGCTCTTAATTTGATTACAACAGGTTCCTCTGCTGATTGCTCTTATGGTCAGATTCGTTTGGTCGATGGAACTGCTCCTAATGAAGGTCTTCTTGAGATATGCATTAACAATACCTGGGGGACAGTTTGTGATAATCTCTGGACTGATAGTAATGCTGAAGTTGTCTGCAGGCAACTAGGATACACAGCTAATGGTATTAGATCAGTTTATTAGATTCATTAATGTGTTTATATTCTACTATACAGGTTCTGTGAGTGAATATTTCAGTACTGGATATGATCAAATATTTTTAGATAATGTTGTGTGTGGTGGATTTGAATCATCACTGCTCCACTGTAAACATAATATCATTGGAACACATGACTGTACACATGATCAAGATATTGGTGTAATATGCTCAAGTAAATAATGTGTGATATATAATGACAAAATTAATAGCCTGTAACATATTCAAGATATACATTCTCATTTATAAAGCAATTGTTTGAGTAGGAGAATTTACATTTGCTAGTGCAGGCTTCAAATGTTAATTGCCCATTTTATATTGAACTCCAAGCCGCATAATTTATTCCATTTCCAGCTAGATTTATGGTAGCTAGATCTGATTTTGCTGAATATTGTAGACACATAGATTTACTGTATAGCGGGTAAATTTGGAGGGGATAAATTTTGGTGAATTGCTAAATTGTGGATTTTAATTTTGGCAAATTTGTGGCCATGTGCCATTGAGCATGCGTATAATAGCTCAAAATGGCAGGTTTTATTTTGGTGAATGGCTATCAAAACGCCAAATTCGCCAAATTTAATCCCCTCCAAAATTACTCGCTATACGGTAGTACTTCTTTTTCCTTTTATTCTTTTTTTTAATTCATTGAAAAGGAATTTATTGATACAAGCCTACAATCTAAAATGCAAAATACAAATAACTAATTAGTAGCTCATTCTTTCTATAGATTGTTCATATGGTGACCTTCGTCTCATTAATGGTACTCTTCCTAATGAAGGACGTGTAGAAATTTGCATTGACAATACCTGGGGAACTGTTTGTGATAGAAATTGGACTAATGCTAGTGCTGATGTTGTATGTAAACAATTAGGATACAATACTACTGGTATGCATCTCTGTATAGGATAATTTGCATGTCTTGTTCCCCTTTCCTCCTCTAAGGTGCTGTTTACTCATTTTTTGGTGAAGGAAATGGGGACATATTTGTGAATGGTGTGAACTGCATTGGGTTTGAGAATACTTTACTTCAATGTGAACACAACTTGACTAGCTTGAGTCAAGGGACTGATTGCACTCATCAAGATGATGTTGGTGTAATATGTTTGTTATCAGGTAATATGCTGCACTTATATTGATTCTCATTAGCTTTCACTATGGAAATGTTTGTAATGAGGTTGCTTGATTGTTTGTTTCATTAGTTTGTTATGATGGCCAGCTACGCCTAGTCAATGGATCTCTTCCTAATGAAGGACGTCTAGAGATGTGCTATAACAATACTTGGGGAACAGTCTGTACTAATGGATGGACTAATATTGTTGCTGATTTTGCATGTGGACTGTTAGGATATTCTAATACAGGTATAATAATAATATTTTTTCTTGGATGACATGTGAATATTAAGGTGCTGTGTATCGGCTCAGTACTACTTTTGGACAAGGCAATGGAAGTGTATTTTTAGATTATGTTGCATGCGGAGGATTTGAGAGGTCATTATTACATTGTGTTCATAATCTAGTAGGAGACACCATGTACTGTGACCACGTTGGAGATGTTGGCATTATATGCTTGGACATAGGTTTGTTAGTACTTTCCTTTATAATAACAATTTCTTTGTTAGATCAATCTAATAATGAAACAATGTGTAGCACCAAGTTGGATAATGAGTTATGGGATACAATGAGGTACATGACCATACTACTATCTAATGATTGATAATTTATCATTGCATTATAGTGCTCAAGGAAAATGTGAACCTTACATAGACAATCCTTGGTTGAGTTCATCAGTGTGTGACAGTATTTATACAAGCTTGCATTATGTCTATACTCCTAATGCTCGATTATTAGGTCAACCTTTTGTTAGACTCTTAATGGAGAACATTACTACAAATCTTACCTTCACGCCACAGTGCTATGAGTCTGTTGTCAATGCACTCTGCATGCTCTATTATCTACCATGTGGCTACAATGGTACAATACAAGTTCCAAGGTTTCTCTGCTCTGATGCTTGTACTAATGTATCAGCACAAATGTGTTCTGATGATTGGAATGCTCTTCGTAGTTTCATTAATGATGAAATTTCTGCAGATCGTGATTTGAATGAGACCATAGTCATGCCAAACTGTAGTAATACTGACTTATTTATTGAGGCATTTAATCTTGACCGTGACTGCTGTGAGCCATTTTATCAGGTAAGAAGAATGCATCTTATGTTACTCTTGGTTAAGAACACATAAATCTACTCATGATATTATTTAATTGCATATTGTGCTGTGTAGTGGGAGGTATAAATTTTTAAAAGTTATTCTTTTATATTGTTGTTTCTAATTTCTAAACTTTTTGCTACTTTAACAGTAATGTTATTTCTCTTGAGTAGTCTATATTTTAACTGCTATGCTTTCCTCATTCCTCTCATACTATAAGTAGTAGAATACTATAATAATAGTAATACTAATGTAAACTTAACATCATGACACACCAAATAAGCCAATAATTATTTATAACACATTCTATAATGCCATTCCAAATTCAGATTCTTTTTATGACAGCTATTTGAATCTGTACAATGTATGCGTGTTCTATTTAATAATTATCATTATTATATTAAATGTTGTATTTCCATTAAAGCCAGGTCCAGTGTATAATCTGTTGGCATCTGATGTTACTAATACAAGTGTTAAACTGAGTTGGAGTTTTGATCCTCCAGTCACTGGTGGAGTATTATCATATGCTGCTGTATCTAACAGATTTAGTAATGGAACGCAATCATTTACTGGAAGAAATGTTAAGGAGCAAATGATATTTAATCTTGAACCATTCACTGTTTATAATTTTAGTGTCACTCTACTGAATACTTTTGGCAATAGATCTAGCAGTAAAGTAACTATCAATACTGAAACTCTACCAAATGGTAACTTAAATTTTAAAATATATTCATTTATTCTTGTCAAACATGTATAGTTCCTACTGCTCCTACTCTTATCAGTGCTGTGTCTATTAATTTAACCTCTATTTCAGTCAGTTGGAGAGTAAGTAGATCTATAACAGCATGAACACAGTGTAACACATTACATAGTAGATTGACTAGATTCCATAGTATATCAATCCATTAACTAATAATAACAAGATACATGTAGTTTCTTTTAATATAATATATATTAGAAGTAATGTCTTTTTAAAGAGCAATATAGATCCTTTAAGACAGTCAGAGGTGGAGTTGTATACAGTGATGTATTACACAGAAGGACAGCAGAATAATGAATTAAATGTAACTGCTCCTGCTAGTGTAGTGACAATAAATGGTCTTGCTGAAGAGAAAAATTATTCAGTAACAGTATCTGCTACTAACAGTGCAGGGAAAAGTGCATCTAGTAATCTTATTACAGTTCAAACTAGTAAGCATATCACATGTAGTAGTAATGTAATGTATTTTGTTCATTCCCA